AAAACACGATCTTTCAAAAAAGACATAACGATTATTTCCCTATATCGTAAAGTTTTTCGCCTCTATCGATCTCCGCATTTGTGACTAGGCCAAATGAACCCTTGTTTCAGCTGCAAGGCAAATTAAACAGCAAACATAATTCAGAAAAGGGTTTGTTTAGAGTTAGTTCCCAGCTTTTGAGCGAGCATAACAAACCAAAATCTCGTATTTTCAGCTACCGTTTTCGACAGGAGTTCGTTGAATCAGTTATGGAGTAAGCAATGATAGAAAATAATAAGAATTACGCGTATTTGGTAGATACAGCAATACACAACTTACAAAATAAAATAAAAGCTATTTTTGCAGAATTTATAGCTTTCTGTGGTTCTCCAGACCCAAGGTAGCTCCCAACTTTTACGGATGCAGCAATGTTAAGACTGGCTGATACCTGTGGATAAAACGCAGGGCCTATTTTAAGAAATTTTTAATACTGCACAATTATAACTACATTTTTTATAGGAAATTTTGTTGTTGCAATTTTTGGAAATTTCTAGTCATTTCGTTTTGTTTTAAGTTTGATAAGAGAATCTTTCCGATGGTCATACGAGATTTGCATTACATGACCTCTATATCGAACTGACGGGGAAAATTCACATTTTGTGAACAAAGCGAGAATCTGGGATAGCGGCAATTGGACATTTTCACAAATCCCAAAATTCAATACTGCACATTTTCGAAATCAATACTGCACATTTTTAAATTAATACTGCACAAAGTGTGTAATACTGCACACTAAAATAGGCCCTGATAAAACGGCCATTAGTCAAGGTCCGAGTTCAACTTAGTCTCGAAGAATTAGGAATCAAATGTGTTAATTACTTGTTTGCTACAATCCTTGCTAAAGATAAAGAAATACCCCTCCAAACAATGTTTGTTGAATAGATATTACTTAAACTACCCGACAGAGGGGTAGTTACATTTGATTTTTTGATAAGTGTTTAGCTGAGTGATAAAAGTTTGAAAAGTGATAAGTGTTTGATAAGTGCCTAACATTGTTTCAAAGGAGAGGGGGTGCTACTGAACTTATGGACAATTAAAAAGTTTTTTACGTGAGATTAATGTGGTGAACAGATATATAGTGTACTAGATACTAACCATGAACAAAATGTTGATGATATTGAAAATCACACTCTGTGCTCCTACCTCGACCTTACCAACTAATCCTGCAAGACACAAATTCAAGCGCTGTTTTACAGCCATTTTGTTATAAGGAGGTAGACCGAAAAAAGTTTTTCAGACTTCATAATTTCAAGAGACCCCTTGGCATGTGGCAATGTTGTGAAAACAGGGTAAAAGATAAGAAGTCAAAACCAGGGGAAGAATAGAAACATTATTGCAAATAAAAAAGTGAAGGGGAAGGATTTTAGGCATATTATTTTCAGTTTTTTCAAACAAACACTGTCTATCAACAAACAATGTTAATCAACAAATAATGTCACTCACAGTGGCGGATTTAAGGGGAGTTGCCCCTCCCTTGACGAGTTGAGGCAAGTCTGGTGCCCCTTTTTTGGAAATTATGCGCCCATTTTGAAGAATGAGAATCAGGGGAAAACGTTTCTGAGACCGATAGATTAATTTGCTTCAAGGATTACCGCCCCCACTACCGACTGCTCCTCCTTCAAATTTGCTCTGGATCCGCTTCTGGTCACTCAACAATGTCAATTAGAAAACTATATGAATCAATGTAAACAATGCCAATCAGCAAAAGAGTAATAACTAATCGATCAATGAGTTGTGGTCTTTTGCATTGAGCTTTTTCAGTGTTGAATGAGTTATAATGACGGCCATATAATCAATGAAATATTACGGAAGGACGATACATCAAATACAGTATAAAACCTCTTACCCATTAAAAACACTCCAGTCTCCGCTGATCCCCAGTCAAAAAAAATCATAAGTGCTCCTGGAAGAGCTAGTTTAACAAACTGACCCCATTGCAGGAGACATTCTCCAGACCAGCCTGGAATTAAAGGAACATCACTGTTAGAAGTTGAAGTTATTTCACTTGAGGCTCCTTACTTGTCAAATGTAAAAGAAATTGAGATTCGTTCAGTTGTTCACTACTCATATACTGATTTTCCTTATTTAGGCCGGTTCATTGAAAAGATGATTGAAATTATGATGACAGTGCAAACCACAGTGCTGAATATTAAGAAGATCTTTTAGAAATAATTCAAGAAAAAGAGGTTTGTTTCCAGACGTTTCAATCAGAAAAATTCAAGCTAAGACATGAGATAATATCATGATGATCAGAATGGAGCATGACAAGAAGAGCAGTGACTACGCAATTTCCTTGGCATAAGTTTGATTCTTGAAAACAATAAGCGATAATATGAATTATCTGTTTACTATGGTAAATATAAACATAAAAAAGGTAAGAAGATGATGTGGTAGAAAGACACTTCCAATGAATAAAACTTATTCGTTGAATAAAGGAGATTGCTAGCGAGAGAGTGACCACGACAATCATCATTGAAGGCTTAAAAGCTTTAAATTTTTACTGCAAAGGCAGAAATTTTTAATGATTAATTTATACATCAATGCACCACAGTGGATACTGATAGCGAACCAACCATGTAGCTGTAGATTTCAGCTAGGGTGGGCAAACTCAAGCAAGAGCCATACCTGAGAGGGGCAGGCTTTAAAACAAGAGAGCAGATATTTAACAAACAAATATATTTGGAATAAATCAAGCTCACGGAATTATAATTATGCCAGCTTTTCAAAATATCATTTGGAAAAAGTGTAGCCAGAGGGGGCAAGTTGCTGTCAAAATTTTCATTTTGGGGGGCACAGCCCCCCCCCCCCGTGCCCCCTGCAGCTACGTGACTTTAGCGAACCTCTTCCGTTATTGGCACCAAATGCTCCATGCAGTGCCGTCTGAAAAAAATTCACATTGGGAAGGGGGCTGCCCATTGTATTGTTCCCATTCATTACACTGTTATAAAGGTTTGACAATTATTGGGGGGGTCGAGCACCTGCAGCCCCCGCTTCCGATGGCCCTGCCATGGCGGTTGAACACTTTCATTTTCGAAACAAGGAACATGTAGAAGATGTAGAAAACAACAGTTCAAGGAGAAAATACAAAGAGATAAGATACTTGTGACATCACTATGTTTTTGAAAAGAGGCATGTTTCATTAAGAACAAAAAAGATAATTATATTCCTCTTCTTTTGAGACCTTGAATCTACACATGGAAAGCAAGGCTGTATTGTCACTTTGTAAAGGAAGTCTTTATATACATTTTTACTTGCTTTAACGATTAGCTAAACTAAACAAACTCTATGAATCTTTTGACATTATTAGAAGTTATACTTTTAAATCTTACATTTAATATTACTGAGTTATAACAACAGGACTAAAGTTTAATTTCGTTTTAATTAGTTTCTTTAACCCAAATAATGATGTAAACAATTTTTGTTGTTAACTTTGCAGAAACGTATGTAGAATTCTCTTTAAATAAGATTTTAAATATCAATACCTTAGGAAGGGAAAGTTGTTCCCCTAAAAATCCAATGCTTACGTAAACCTAAGTCTTGTAAAATAGAGCTTACACAAGCAAAATATATGAAAAGTTTTAGTACCTGGCCATGTTTGCGAAATTTTCTTCTTCCGTATGTAACCAAAAAGTAATAGGCATAGAAGAAGGTATGTAAGATCAATGGCGATAGCACTGCCTCTGAAAAGTTAATTATATATCTTAATGAGACGACTCTTGTTACTCTGTGTAAAACGAAAGCAAAGGCGAGAAAATGAAATACAAAACGAAATTTAACATTGAACCATATTCAGCATTCATATACATGTTAGGCAGCAATAGAGCAAGATATATTGCAGTGTTCTGGTGTGGTTTCCAAGGATGTGTGCATTTCTAGCTGATACATAAAATCATGCGAACAAATGAATTTTACTGTAAACTGAGCGTTCCTTACAGATGATAGCATTTTTTTATCAAATTAGCTATAAAAAACTCAGGAAAATAACTGTTTACAGGTCTGGCTCTAACTTTCAGCTCCTAGTCTCACGCTCAATACGAGGCAACTGCATAAATTAGAATATTTTTCGAAAATATTCAATTCGGCAAATCTTGCGGCAAAAAGCAATTTTTCAAAAATAATTTGGAGGTCAGAAGCAGCGATTTTTCATTTATATCATTAATTTATATTAAAGTCGTAACAAAAAAGCTAGAGATAATCCTAGAAATATTAATCCTAAACGACCCATTGATCAATGAATAAATTCCTATAAAATCCTTCAAATACACAGATGACAACAACAAATGACAAAAGTAGAAAAAACTTCAATACATACACGACTCCCATTTTCAAGTACGAAACAAACAAGTAATTTGCAACAACAGAAAACCCCAGGCAAATGAAACCAATGACAACAAGAGGGGCTGATACTTCCTACGGAGAAAACTCATAAAATCACTGAACAAATTCTTGGAACATGGACAGCAGTGGCTCCACAACGGGGTGGACTGGAGTGGACATGTCCACCCCAGTTTTCCCAGAGGTCGATTTTCTAATTTCTCAAAATCCGTTGAAAACCTTGGAGGAGGAAGGGGGGGGGATGGTTGATAAGATCGATTCGAATTTCGTTTCTTCCAAAAAAAACCCTTCGTGAAAAATGCTGCTTGAGACAGTTTCCTTTCTAATCATTTCAAAATATATCAAAAATACTAAAAAGGGCGTTTCCAACGATCACTGCTAGGCTGAAGGGCGTTGTCCAGAAGTTTTTCCATCCCACTTTTTTGGGGCTGGTGACGCCACTGATAAACGGAAAATAAAAAAAGTTGAATTCAGCCACCCTCTCTTTCCCCTTTTTAAGCCATGTCAATTTACTACCAAATGGCGTAATAGGATGCGTACTCTTTATGTGACATCTACGATATTTTTTTAAATTATAAACATTGGTTTGAAGCGGAAGTAGTGGTAGTCGGGAAAAGAAATGAAAAATATGGAAACAAGACTCAAGACATTCTGGCAGGCATTTCACTGCTTATACTGTTTAGTTCAAAACAATACACCTTTGAGTAACAAGCTTGGTTGAAACATCGCCGTTGCGTAGATTCACCAAAAAAATATTGACTCCTTTGGTAATTTTTTCAATAGGCAAGCGGCACTTATAGGGCAACCTTTATAGTCATGTGCTCGCGTTTCTGATTGGCCTATTTCGATCCACAACTGGGTATATATATTTCCTAGCGTAGAGCGTTCGATTTATGTTTTGACGTTTTAGACTCTGAAGAGAATATACAAATGCTTAAGTATGTTTCGAAATGTTTGCTTTTTTCAAAGCCATTTTCAAAATTTTAGCAACACCAAAATTGATTAGAAACTTTAACCTTCGTTGTTATCATCGGAACTAACAGTCAATGAGCTGTCTCTCACTCGGCGCTGTATTTTCGTTTTCCAAACGATCGTTTTTACTTACCATTTTATTCATTTAACAAAAATACGTAAATGCAATCAAAATGGAAAAAAATGAACTGTATCTTGATTGATAAAAATGATTGATTTTTAATTGACACATGTATAAACATGTAAAACCTTTTGGATGTGAAACTCAATAAATGAAACACACCTGACAATAAAGATATGTCTTCATTGTCCGATAAATCCCTTGCAGCTAAAAGGAAATACATGTACACATTCAGTAAGAATTTCTCATAAAGCTGGCCTTTATTCTTGCATACTGCTTTTGTAATGCTGAAAAATTACAAACACCTCCTCAGACCTCGAAAATTGATTAGAGTTGTAGGACGGAGGGTTGCTTCATTCATTTTTTTGCTTACTCGCCTCCCCAACAATGTCGGGAAAACCCGGGGGGATTTCGTAGCCAGATGACGAAAGTGCGCCATTTTGAAAAATGATACATACCTTAAAAGTTGCTATCCAAAGAAAAGTAAACATACCCAAAAATCCTACCCCAAAATTTGAAAACAATAGGAGATGCATACCTTTAATTTCAATTCAAATCTGCAAAAATCGAGCAACTCAATCAATCAAGAAAATGAAAACATATTACTTTTCTATCAAAAAGATACCCCAAAATTTGAGAACATGCTAAAAATCAATCTTAAAATTTATAAGCATGTTTGGTTTTACCAAAATCGATACCCCTCAAAATTCATTTTCTACTAGGAATAAGGTACCCAAAAAATGGAACATCCAGTACCAGCGTTTGTGGAAGTCCCCCCCTTGAGCTGAAAATCTATCAGGGAATATAAAGTCTGCCTGCATTAAAGTGCGTTATTAGCAAGGGAATATTACCATTCAGCCTTTCAAAATTAGGACGAGTATAACCCAAGCAAAAAGTATTAAGTGTGGAGCATGAAAAAAGCCAAAACCAAACCCTTACCAGCAAAGAAGGAATTCTTGTGTTTATGAACAGACCTGCAATTCTAGAAATAATATAAAATTTTGATTAACCCAACTTAGGTAGACAGAGAATAACTTCATGCTAAAACAATGGTTAACGTTCTCGAGGGTTTTTAGGCAGCTGTTGGGGAATTATTTTCTCTAGCAAAAGAATTTTTTGCCACAGGCGTAAGATTTTTTGTGTAGTAATATGCCCCTCAGAGGTTCTAAGGACGTTATTTGGAATCCTGATCTCTTAGGCATAGTTGACACAAATTGGTATCTGATTTTGCCTTGCATCTGCAATGAAAAGCTGGAAACTGACATTTGGAAACTGAGCATGTAGATAAGAGTTGGATACAACTTCATGTATTGCTACGACTAGATACTAACATTAATAGCTACATAGCTCATTTAGGAATAAAATTTTCAACTCACCTTGCAACATCTTTTTCTTGTCCTAATTTCAACAATATCTTCTCTGAATTGATCCAAAGCGGCAATATAATGAGGGCCCATGTCAATTGCAGTATTACTGCACGCTGTGAAATAACTCCATACCTAAACAGGTTGCCAGCACCAAAAGATTGTGCACTAAGGGTTTGTGTTGCAGTGTCTAGGCCAAATAACTGTGCGAACCCAACCAAGTTGCAATATGAGATACCTAAACCAGCAGCAGCAAGCTCTGTTTCACCAAGTTGACCAACAAATATCAAAGGGACAATGGGTACTAGCATCTCAGAAACGCTGCTGAAGAGAATAGGCCAAGAAAATTTCAAAATAGACTTTGCATCTTCCTTGAAATTTTTCGGAAACAGTATTTTCCAGCAATCTGAGCCTGGGCAATTTAGCATGGTGTTTCTTGCATTCACCTACAAGATCAAACGGATTTTCTAAGGAAACACATCACTAAATCTCAAGACAATAAAATAAACGAATTCTACAATTTCCTCCATTCTTGAAACCACGTTAATTGTGGAGCTTACCAGTTCTAGGCATTTGACACGAGGAATGCTAACTGCACTAATTTTTGTGATGTAATTGGCATTTTCTTAAAGGCCCGGCTACACGAAAGTATATTCAACAAGAATAATGATATTATTTTATCATTCTCGCTTGTATTTCAAAGGAGAATTTTTCAAAGAATAACCTTATCATCTTATTTTTCCATTGTTAGAATACTTTTGTCGAGAAAGAATTAACTCTCTCTGACCTGGACGCTCCGTCGATTCTAGTCTGGGTGGTCATCTACCTCCTGAAAATTTCCTGTGCAAGGGCGACACTGTCGGGCAACATTCACAAATTCCTAATGTTGCTCGAATTTTGTCCAGTTTGGCAAAAATGTCGGCCGACAAATTCATCAAGAAATTTGTTGCTCGAATGTTTGTTTGAAAATGCTCAAACATTTTTCGGCAACATTTGTTGCTCAGCTGTATGTTGTTCAGTTTGGTCACATTGTCGGGCAACAATTCACCTTAATTTCTAATCTAAGAAAAATCAACATGCACAGTGTTGTATTGCAAAACAACCTGTGTCAGATCCCTTGTAAAAAATCCAAAAATTTTTTGGTAAGGACAAACCCCAACTATGTTTCTCCTGTTCCTTTTTCTAAACATTCCTTCGAACATTTTTGATAGGAGGGGCAAGGGTTTTTATAAAAAAGTGCCCTTGAAACAGGCCTGTTTGATTTTGTTATCTTTTTCTATTCCTTCGGACCCCTGTGGTCAGTCGGGGAGAGGGAGTCGAGAATCGAACATACACGGAGCCGTCACGCAGGGAGTTGTGTCCGCATTTGAAACGCAACGAACGGTTTTTTTATCAATTACGAATCATTCATTATATTATCGGGTTGTGTAAGTCACTAAATTAGTTTTATTTACGATATATATTTACGCTAACTATAGACCTCGTTTTTCATTTTGGACGTCTTTGGTCATATTACGCCGAGCCCCGCATACTAGTTGCAGTCAAACTTCTACAGTTCGTTCCTTGTAGTGGTGTCTGTAATATAGTCAATTTTCAACACGGCCAATTGTAATAATCAGAGAGATTCAAATGAAATTCTGAATATTTCCTTATGCCGAAAGTTAGCCAATATTCAAGATACCTACAGAAGATCGAAATCAAATTACAGTTACGTAGCAATTTGTAGAAGCTGAGAATTATCTTTCAAAAGCCCTTTTACTCAAGCCGGCCCCCCTCGCCGCTTGACCATTCCGCTGTCACTGTCTATTTCCTAGTAGGTCCACCTCTGTGTAGGTCCTTGCCTTTGAAGCTACATTACAGGGGACACAGGTTGTGAAAATTAGCTATAGTTCACTGTTGCTTTTCAGGAGACAGAGAGCGGAGAAGTACCTTGAGTACTCATATTCTATTGGTTTAAAGGCCATTTTCAAACCTGTCTATAGCTTCACTGTAGCTCGTGCCAAAAATTGTAGTACGGGTTTCATTGTCTTTGATGCCTTTTCCAGAGAAAATCCCCAGACCGACTATAGCTCGGAATATCCATTGTAGCTCAATTCCGGTTGGTTACTGTCAACAAAGAACGTAACTACTGATTCGTCTAAGTTTTAATATTAGACCATTCTGCGCTCAGTGTTTTATATCTTATTTGGAGCATTGTTTGAAATATTTCAGAGGCATTGTGATGGGCTGATGGCACATTGCCAGTATTGTGTGTTTGGGGCCATTCACAAAGGACAACCATGTGATGGCTTTCGACATTCGATTTCTTCTTTTACACGGTCAGATTTTCCTTTTACACGGTCAGATTCTGTCGAACTCGAAACTTTGAATTCCGAAAACACGGAGATTCTGACTATAGCTCGAGCAGCAGTTGCTCCCCTCCTGTCTGGATTAATCAATTGTGCAGCAAGCATGATGCAGCATGCTTATAGTGCAACAAAGTAAATTGAAGGGTCTTATCCCTCTTGAAGCATTTGACAGTTTCTAAATTCGAACTGTTCAGCTTTAATTCATGCTGATATGTGCGGCAATGTATTTAGAATACTCAAATAAAAAATCAACATACCTCAAGAAATACCTTGCATACACTCCTTATTTACTAGAGAGATTATGCAAATGTTGTTGTCGCTGTTGCGGTGTGGTTGCTTGGAAGGAAAGAAATTCTCCTCGATGATTGATTCTTCCCCTTTTCAATTTGTGAACAGAGTCTGCATGCAGGATCGATGTGTTCGATGATTGGTTCTTCACCGAGGATAGGGGCGGAAGTCAACGCTATGTTTAATTTCCTGTAAAAGAAGGTGTGGTGTGGATGTGGACAGGGGCGTAGCTTGGCCAATAGTTTTGGGGGGGGGGTGAAAAGGGTTTCTGCCCTGCAAAACTGAGTGGTGCCCTGCAGACCTCGTAGCAACGGTTTGTCTATAGGTTACTAGTGAAAGCTTTACCAGTGTACACTGGTCTTTACCAAGGACAAACTTCTAAGCAATAAAAACAAACTTGAAACTTCATTGCCTATGAAATTTCTATTTCTCTACGTGAGCGTAAATTGTTTTTTATATTCACTTCATTTAATGTTGGTTTGCAAAATTAGGCTAATAAACAGCTAATTGGGGGGGGAGGGGGTACATGATGTAGACAGCGCAACGAAATTTAACCCAGTGGGACTAAGAGTCGAGTTTAGTGAGGTAGGAGGACCCACCATGGTTGGGTCCGACGTGAAGAAATTTTTTGAAATTATACCTTGTAAAAAGGGCTAAAAAGCATCTTTCAGAAAAAAATTTAGCAAAATACTATTGTGCTAAAAGAACTGATTGTTTATTGAAAATATTATTGTTTATTGGGAAAAATAGGGAGGGGGATGTCATGCTAAAACTCTATTGTTAGACGTTTGGGAAGGAAAGAAACGACAACCTTTCGTTTCAGATTGCACGTAGTTGTGAATGACAGAGGAAGATGTTGTTTTGATTGGGAGAATTTTTTTTCCTGGACAGAAATGTGCAGTTTCTTGTATCAAGAAGGCCATGTTCACACATCCAAAATTAAAACATTGCAATGATACAGAAAATGATTTACTGAATTAATGCAAATAAAAGAAAAATAATAAAAATATACGTGAAAAAGTTAGCAATTAGATGAAACAAAATCGGTATCTTAACGATTTATTATGTTTTTTAGTTCATGCACTGTTAAAAAGTAATAGAAAAAATGATAAAAAAATTCCTATCTTGACCAAAGTGAGGGACTTCAGCCCCTTATTCCCCCCCCCCAGTGACGCCGTGCTTGTCATGAAAATAATTTACAACTTAAATTAATTTGCATGACTCAACCTTGCCCTCATAAACATATGCATCAGTCATTGCATCCAGGGACGAAAACAAGTTGCTTACTTTGGGGGGGCGTGGAAGGATGAAAATTCCAATCAAAAATAATCAAGTAAGAAACTTTTCATTTGACCAGTAAATCTACTGTACCTACCAAATTGATATTTGTAAATAGCCCGAACACCATATTTCTATTTTCTTTATAATTACCAAAACTTTACTCAATAATTAGCCTAAAGCATAAAAGCCTGAATCTCTAAATTTTGATTAACATGAAACAGACATTTAAACTTACAGTAAGAAGTAAAGCAACATTTAGGTAGTATTCTTTTAGATCAATTGATCAATTTCATCTAAATTGATCAATTAATCAATTGGCGCAGATCAATCTTATCTAAAATACATTTTTTCACGATATAGAAGCACCAAGAATTTAAGCCTTTAATTTTTGTTCTTGATCGAAGAAAACTGCTAACAATTTTCAGAGGGCCAAATGCCTTTTCATTCTTTACAATTGAAATGATGATTTGAGAACAAACTTGTGCATATGCCTGATTCGAAAGATGAAACACTCTTCTTGATCAAATACTTCTACTGCAGTTTTTGCAATGTGTTCTTGCTTCACAGCAGTTTTGTCATGGGAATTTATGATAAGGAGTCAAGGACGTTAACAAATAACAGGGGGAGTTTAGCATAAATTCGTTTTTATAAGAAGCGTTGAGAATTTTTAGTACTGAAAGATTATTAATCTTTTATTGAATTAACTACTCGTAGTTTCTTAAAAAACTTCCACTCTAATATTTTCTGATCAATACGGGAATTTTTATTCCAAACTGTAAAGTTTCAAGTTTCTTATCCAGAAATTCACCTTGCCTGTTCGTAATTTGATTCAACTCCCATCAGAAAGAAAGCAAACGGGGCAATTGCGCAATTTGGATCCAGTGGAGACGGGATTCACAACAGAAAACGATTACTGGATGGGTCAGCTTCAGCCTGTGAATTTTGATGTTTAGAATTTTTACATTTGAAATAAAAAAACTTCTTAAAATGTAAAATTCACAAATTTGGTCCTAAGAAAAAATTCCAAGTCAACCGTTATGTTTTCCAACTGTAGCTGGATTTTCCAAACTATGGGGGGCGTTACGCCCCCCACGCCCCCCTATTATTTACGTGCCTGATTGCATCCATTGGCTATGACTTTCGGTAAGAAATGCTTTCGCTTTGCAAATAACGGAGCTTTTCCTTACATACCTGTTCCGTTCTCTAAAATGCAATGTCAGGAAGGGAGGTTCATAACAAATACGATATTTCCATTTCAAAATTCCTAAACGGCTCTTTATGAACTTCAGAGGTGGCATTTCTGCGTGGCAATAAAGCTCTTCTTGGCGCCCTGCGAAATCTTCGATTGCCCTGCGAAATCGACTATTTTTTGGATTGGGGGGGTGTCACACCCCCCACACCCCCCCCGGTAGTTTCGCCCCTGGATGTGGATGTCAATAAACATGGTCTACTGAAAAGACTCGAGACAAAGAAGATACGCATTTCTGTTCAGGAAGTGAAATTCTCTCTTTCAATCCAGGGTGGATTTCATGTCAACTGTACGCATCCACGCCGCCCCCGACCCCCCGAAGGTCTTCAGGGGCATTTGTTTAGGTATGCCAATTATATGAGCAGTTAGTGAAACGGTAAATATTGTACGCCAGACAAAGAAAACTGATTAACAGAGAAAACTGTGGTGTACGAGTCTTTGTTTTATTCTTTTTTACGTTAACTATGTTTTACGTATGTTAAAAATGTGTTTTATTGGTTTGCACTTTGAACACATAAATCTTGAATTTTTCTGTCTGTCGTTTAGAACCTAACATGGCATGAGTAAAAAAGTGCGAATTTTTTACATTTTGTTTGTCAAATTGAATTTGTAGAAATCAAATTTGATATGAATTAAACTTCTTTCTTCTTGATAAGGCCAAATTAGTAATCTTTGTCATGAAAATGTACCCCAAAGGTATTTTATAGCCCTAAAGATACGGGGAGGGACGCATTGTGCCACCTCACATCGCAGCACAGGCATCCTCTACGTCACTCTCATTTCACGCATTCGCTAATCCCTAGTGTTTACTTAATCTTTGCCACGCTATTCAATTTACTCATCACCTTTACTCGCCCTTCCTATCCTTTGTTTTTCTCATATCATTCGTGCTAATATTAGATATCCATTTCTGTATATAAGTATGTTAATTTGTGAGTAAGTTCAGTTCAGTTCAGAGTTCAGTTACAATCAAGCAACACACTGTCTCTCTCTCTGGCTCCGTATTCTCTGCACGTAAAATAAGATTCGCTGGGTTTGGAAATGGTTTATGGCACAGACGCTCAGTTGACACAGAAAATGAGGCTGCGTTTACACGGGGCCGGCCGAATATTTGGTCGGTCAAATATTTGGTCACTTAGGCCTTGCGTTTACACGGGGCCAGCTAAACGACCTCAAATTAGGTCACTTAGGCGTGCAAATATTCGGCCACCTAGGAAAGCGTCCTTCTTGAAACTTGGCCGGCCGAATTCGCGAGCGGCCTCGTGTAAACGGTTATGGCCGGCCAAATATTTGCACGGTACCAAAAAGAGGGTGTCGATGCGTGCTACGGAGGCAAACACAAAATGGGAAATTAAAATTGGCAATAGCCAACCTTTGCTTGGATTTGTTGAACCAAAACCAAATGCAACATTTGGTAGAAACCAACAAACTGGAGCGCTGGGTGGAAATGGTATTAATCCTACTCCTGAGTTAATTTTCCTTTTTTTAATGCTCCTTGAGTAAATGCTCCAGATTGGTTGTATAGCCTTTAGGAGTTAACGATTGAAGATTGAAGATTGAAGATGACACGTCAGGGCCGCCGGACGCAGTTTTGAACAGGGGGGGGGGCCAAAACGAATAAAAAGGGCACAAATGTTTTTTCCGAAACATTAGTAATGCCAAAAATGGTACAAATTTCACGGTAATTTAGACAATTATAAAAATTATGACACAGGTTGGACATAATAATGATATTAATTTTCTTACTTTCATATTTAAACAATTTCATCCCCCTTGGTATCCGCACCATCCCCACTTAAACACAAATTTGTTCGCCTCCATGGAATTTTTTTTAAAAGCTAAAAAACTTTATGATTAAGTCATCTTCATGCAATCGGCTGAAGGTGCGGGCGCATTCTTCACTGTCATAGCAAATGTAATTTGCAACATTGATTAAGTTTATCTCGTCAGTCTTATGAACGAAACAAGTTTTTAACTCTCCTTAAACTTGATCCCGGGGGGCTCAGTCTGTTGGTAAAACGTATTACATGTGAGTTCCGAAAAACTCGAAAAAAGCTAGAATTCTGGGACATAGAATCTTGAAAATTGGGTTGCATTCTTAATCAGTCAGAGGAAACACAAAAAGGGCAAGATAACTTTTTAGATAAATCAATGGCATATCGAAGTACAACAAATTTTGCAGTACGTCTAGTCTTGCATATTGTTTTGATCCTAGATAAGAAGTTTAAGTCTTTGTTAGCATGTACTCATTGCAAGGGCATAACTTTTTCATTTCTTCATAAAAAACATTGAACACAATGTTGTGAAGCAAGCAATATGTTGCAGTTATAGTTTTACAGATGTCTGATTTTGTTAATATATATGTCAAGAACCACAAGGGATCGTTGTTGAAATCAAATTTAGTGAACTCTGCTTTTTACTTGCCTAGTCATAAGTTTAAGAAAAATAATGGTTCTAACATGAATTGGTATCAAAAGTTCCTGCTCAAGCTTGAATATTCTCAGTGAAAAGAGTTACATAATTTTGGCAAAGACACAGAATAGGGCACTTTTTACGCATCCCAGAAACTGACTGTGCCCGCCAGGGACTTGATCGGACCTTTCACCAATGCATTTGTTGCTGAAGACATACTACGGAAATTTTCTCGTAAAAATAGCAGTCTCCTTCGCAGTTGATATTGTTCATCACAGGAGCTTGAGTTTTTTTGCATCAAGACCAAATAAGCATTTAAGGAATTTTCAATGAATGGTCCTCCAACAACATCCAGAGTTATGTTATTTATTTATTTTTTAAAGGCAGAATATCTGGCATTGAAAAATTACACACAATGTATTTATCGAAAACGGGCACTTGTTTATACTTTTTGCAAACAGGAGAGGCCTGTGCCCCCGTGGCCCCCCTGGCTCCGGTGGCCCTGCACGTTAGTCGATGGATGGGATTATTAGTGAACGAATCGCACACAACAATGCTCAATTCTCATTTCACTGAAAGGCCTAGATATTTCATAGCAGTTTCTGTAAACCAAGAAAGAAAAAGTAACTAAATCACATCTTTGTACAAATGTGTTAAGAAACTAATGCATTGAGTGGCTAAAAATTGTTGCTGGATCCGTTTTAGAACGGATGACTTTCTGGAATTTCGACGAGACAGATAAGCAAGTACCGCGACTGTAAATGCTTGGAATTTGCGAATGACGGCTTATTTTTCCAATATTAACATCAATTCATAAATTCAAATGCAATAAGGCCACTCACCAAATTTCACATCGATATTCGAAAGAGAAGTGAACGAAATCAATCCTTACTACTGTTACCAAATTTATAAGAGCTCAGTATGTAGCAAGTTCCTTTTTGCCACTATTCAAAATGGCCGAAGAAAACAGATTTGCCTCACAGCGTACCTCTGAGCTAGACATCTAGCGCCTCAGGCGCTTCTATATCATTGGGGGCGCCATAGCTGACGGCGGTTAGGTAGGGGTACAGTGTGTCGATTAGCAAAAAATCAACATTATCATACCAGACTTCGAACCCTTAAGATCAGTGCTGTAGAACAGGGGGGCTCAGAGGGGCTCAAGCCCCTTCTACTTATTCAAGGGGGCTGTGCCCCCTCTTATTTTTTCTGGGTAGTTGTAAAATATTATGGCTAATTGAACCGAACCGATATTACTTTTTGATATTTTCATTCATGGGTGACCTCAATAGCCCTCTTGATAACTGAAATCTCATTAAACACTGGCAAAATTTTTCTACTTCAGGTCTTTTTCAAGATTTTGCTACTCAAGTAACAGGTAGACACTGAAAAATGATTCGACCTCGGAAAAAATGGAAAGGTAAAGAAGTTGACATTAAGGAGCCATGCAAACGAAAAGAACTGAAACGTTCATTTTGTATAGTGAAAGCTCTATGGTCCCCCTTCTACATTTTTGGCTCTACCCTACTGCTTTAAATCTATATATCGGAACAAGCTCAAGATATAACTATACTGTCTGAGGCGGCACCATGGTTGCCACCGGAGGAAGAGAAAACTTTCGAATTTAGATGCTTCTTGTTTGCTGGAAAACGCACTTTTTGAAGCAATTTTTAACAACGCAAGCACACGCTGAAAACCATTTGATGGTTTTAATCTACCTTTTGTGTCGTTATTAAATTTTTCAGCTTATGCATCATAATTTTTTCAGATTGGGACATAATCTCTCAGCTTTTTCTTCCTAACATTTCTTATTATTTCAGTAAATCAAAACGCCTTGCACCCCCCCCCCCCCAATGATTTCATGAAATGAAGCCTAATCTGGACATTTACCGCCAAGCCCAACATTATCGGCGGGTTCCTCAAAAACACCTCCTACCTCGGTATGCCCCTGGTATCTACATTGTGTAAAAATCGTTTAGATCCATCTTAAGATGGTGTTTGACGATCGTTGACGATCTTGAGATTGAAGTTAGTAAGAAAGAAAAGATGGTATTTTGGAAGGTGAATCTTGTTCTTTTCGCCTTTTATTGTTGGATCTTTTTATGTAAATCTTCTTCGCTTTTATGTAAATCCTCCTGGTATTCGATTTTCGTGTGTTTGTTGTTGTTTGTTCTCGGCGCCTTGCAGTGTTTACATTTCACTACAAGGCCTAGTTTCTTTGCAATGAGAGGCACTGCCTGAAATATCGAAGCTTTCCAAAACTAGTTGGCAATATGGCGACCTTTGAACGTACAGAATCTGTTAACATCGGCACACCAGAACGAGGAGAGGAGCGCACTGAACCATAATCTCTTATTTTACATAAAGTGAGTCTGGTACCCAGGGTATAAGATCATGTGCATTAAATACGGTCCATGTAAAGATCTCCTTGTGCGCCTTCGAAGTCATGCTGATTCTTTCGAATAAACCCAGAGCATTGGCATTTTTATAATATGTTTTATTTTCAATGATTAAGAAGCCATCCTCTCAAATAAGCCCCCATCTCAAATAAGCCCCCCTCTCAAATAAGCTTTTCATTTTTTAACAAAACAGAAAAAACAAGTTTGCCCCCACGGGGCTTAATGGAGCTTTTAGCTACTGTCAATTAAAACGAATAGGCCCGAGAGATCGTTCTCCACCGTCGATGACAATGTCAACGAGAGTAAATTCTCGCTGAGACCCTTTATTCTGATATTTTTTCTTTATAAACATCTTCATAGAAAACATGGGCTCCGACAAAGGCTAAAAAGTGGGGGGCCAAGGGAAATTTACCACCCATAACAAAAGATTTTGAAAAAAGCTCTATTGTTTTACCAAGGCCCCCCCCCCCTTCGTCGGAGGCCCTGTAAAAGCCAAATCCTTCTTGCTACCGCTCTTTACTGAGCTCATATTACGTACCAGACATCGTCATTAGTTATAATATAATTTTTATTATAGAATATTGTATCTATCAGAGTCCTCAGTCTTTTAAGAATATTATAAGGACATTGCTCAGTCTCAGCTCGCATATTTGTGTCTCATTTTTTGATGTTTATAAAACAGAATTGCATCAATGGAATATCTCTTTTTTGTCAAAAAGTGTGGTTTCTATTCGAGGGCGGCTTTTTCCTTTGAGAACCTTTGAAATTTCTATTTAACTAAGTTCTTCTGAAACCATATCAGATTTGAAAAAATTGAATACTTGTATTCAGGCTCAAAACGGAAATTTCCTAAGAATATCAAGGCTGAACAAAATTTAAAGTATTCTTGAAAAAGAGTGTAAGTATACACTATCGTATGAATTTAGGAATGTCCAGCTTTAAAAGTCATACACAAAAACTAGTAGTTCAAGTGAAAATTCTTAATCCAAGTCTTTATATTCATATGCAGGGATTAATGCAATACCTTGTCTTTATTTTTCACTTCTTTAACCAAACACCTTGGTTTATAAATCTTTAATGTTACCTAAAAACTAGTTATCGGCTTAACAAAACTTTCAGAAAGCGGTTCCTTATGATTGACAAAAACAAAATATTAGACATAAGCATACCTGCAAAATTTATCAAACAGAACAAGATAAAAAACACTCGTAATCAAGAACATATGTAACGAGCGGTTTCTTCTTTATGTAGTGATTGGTTTCTGTAACTGCACAAAGAATTAAGTTTCTTGGTTTTGGTCGCCTCAACAGTGGACTTGCTACAAGTCTCTCTCTTTAAAGAAAGGGAAAAGGGAAAAATGGAAGGGAAGGAGAGAGACTCTCACTCCCTCCCATTTTTTCTTTTTCCCTTTCTTTAAAGAGAGAGACTTGTAGCAAGTCCACCTCAACAGCGACTGTTAGTGCAAACTAGATTTTGATCTACAACAGGGCCAGTCCTGTAACAATCGCAAGATTGTTAGAGAGCCAAAATGGCTTGGTTCAGAAAGTGACGTTGAAATCTATTTAGCACTGGCTACGTTCGGTTGATGTCACTGTATCCAAGATTCGATATGAGAAAAGAAGAAAATATTTTTACACTTATTATAGTCAGGGGCCCTGCTTAGGCCTGTTGCTCTTTAGCTTATACCATTAATTAACTTATCCTAGCTTCTGTGGGAATTACAGTAATTTCATTTTCTTTATGCAACAATGGACCTGGGTAGCGACCTCTGGCCGTAAAAGAAGATCGCGCTTGGTCTGTGGACAAAACATTTTCTTTCTTACAAAAAATGCTTTGCCCACATATTCGAGCATATTTGTACACCAATTATAGTCAGGAGCCCTGCTTAGGCCTGTTGCTCTTTAGCTTATATGATTAATTAACTTATTCTCGCTTCTGTGGGAACTACAGTAATTTTGTTTTCTTCATATAGCACTAGGCCTTGGTAGCGGCCGCTGGCCGCAAAATAAGATCACGCTTGGTTTGTAGACAAAGCATTTTCTTTCTTACATAAAATGCTTCTTAAATTAAATTTAAACCACAAGTTTTGTTTTGAAGTAAAAAAGTGCCAACAATTAACCATTCTATCGGGTATCTGCAATGAACCGTCTTTGCATGACCGCCCCTACCCTGGGTACCAGACTAGTGAGGCTGGTACCCAGGGTAGACCGCCCCCAAATATTTCAATCACTTTACTTTCGCAATAAAATTCATGAATAAGTCCCACTTAGAAAAACCTTTTAAAATCTTAGAAAATCTTTTTAAACAATACCATGGCACGCAATTTTTGGACATATGTTTTACATGAAGACCAGAATCATGATCACAATTTGTTTTATGATGGCAAATCCCCTCCTCAAACTTTGCATAAAAGCTAAACCCAGAAACAAGGTCTTTTGCTGAGCAGTTTTTACACGCTTTCGGTACTAGGTCTTCTGTTCCGTTGTCAGAATGTTACATTCTGAAGTCTAGCACCGCGAATTAAAATTTGTCTCGCTCTTTAACAAAATCAGCTAAATTTTATTTCAAACAGCTCTGTACTTTTATAATTGGTGCATTTTCTGGCAAAAATATCAATAAACAACACTCCCCTAGTTTTAATATTATTGATTTACGTCAAGGCTGCACTTCTCACTGGACCCACCAGGTCCGAGGCCGGGTACCCAAAACAAATAGAGGCCCGAAGAATTTTTCGGAAATTCAATATGGTATCATAGGGTTTCTCTTGCACGAGTTTCTTATCAATGCGCAAATGCAAAACCTCAAAGTATGCAAGCTTAAGCAATTGATATGAATGATTCCATTTTAGATGCACTGACATGGCACCCTAACTTCACGAAAGAAGAGAAGGATGCCCTTCACAACCTAATACATCCACCAAGCAATATAAATTCATCAAATGCCAAAAACTTTATACAAAATATGCAACCTCTTACATTACCACTCACTTTATGAATGAAATGAAAGAGCAGAGTTTTTGCAATCACGCCCTCCTCCTGGAAGATCAATATAAACAAAAAATATAATCTATAAAGTTTTCAAGGACTAATAAACAACACCTTGTTGTGAGAAAACATCAGAAACGTGGCCGTTGTCTGAGACCTTTATTTAATTCTTTCAGGAAAGTAACTAAGACTTTATAGGAAAGGGCAAAGAGAAAGAAAATATTTTTGGACCAGTTAGAGAGGATAAAATCGTCAAAATCTGCTGACTTATAAAGCGAAAAATTGGATGATAACGATAAAATGGTCTACGAAAACATTGAAACAGATTTTAAAATGTTCACAAAGCACCAAAAGCTGAAGCACAAGAAACTACTGTACTGTACTTTCCTACGAGGTTTTCTCTAGAAATTTTTTTAGCATTAACACAGAATTGACATTCATGTCAATGTGCCGTGCCCTTTCGAGACATTCCTGAGCGCGCGCTTGAAACGCTGAAACCTACGCATGCGTACATTGGGAATGATCACGGTCGCTGCGATCAGTTTCATGTTTGCTCGCACGCGTTTGAGAGTAGGTCTCGTTCCTACTCCCAGGCGCTCACGCAAGAGCTCAGCCAATGAAATCAAGTGATTGAACGCTTCAAACGCGCGCTCAACAATGTCTCTGGCGAGATTAGACTTAAGTGATGTTGGGCCAACACGTAATGAAAAATCAGTTATTTTCTCCTCTTTTTATTCACAACTCCAAGCCATCCCGATAAGTCCCAAAATCAAGAATTCGTCCCAACAACAGGATGTGGGAATGTGAGAGAATCCCGATCTGAAGATCCAGTTATGCTGCATAAGTAAAATTGCTTCAAAGAGTGCATTTTCCAGCGAACTGGAGTCAATCATATTCGAAAATTGCCACCCTTTTGCGGCAATCACGGTGCCGCCCCGGGTAGAACAAAAATCGAGACGTTTTGTTATGATTAAGGACAGGGGTGGCGCTAGAGACAAACCTTGAAGGTGCCGAAGTTTATATTTTCCGTAACTGCCGACGCTGGATGTGTCAAATTGCCGACCGAAAAAAAATTCGATTTGCCCCATATAGCAGGAAGGGCCGTCGCGAGGCAAGCCTCATTTGGGGGGGGGGGGGGGGGAATGCAAATTTACCTGATTAAAAAATTATTGCCTGAAACTTTTTAGCTGGTGTCACAAACCTCTGCAATACATTTTGTCAATCTAACTCTGTATGATAATAACCGACTTTCCCATTAGTCTTGTCAAATCTCTATATCGGGACGGGCAAAATATATAGTTACTACCTGAGGCGGCACCATGGTTGCCGCGGAAGGGGGAGCAAATTTTCGAATTGTGATGCTTCTAGTTCCCTGGAAAATGCACTCTCTTAAGCAGATTCACTAAAGCAATCCTCCTAATCCTATTTAAAATTATTGTCTTTTTGCAAAACTTTTTTACAGCAGATAAAAACAACAATTTCGCCGTGGTCTTGAAAAATACCAGGTTGTCAGTTACTTTTAAATTTAGATCCCTCTCTCCATCTTAGCATGCCTTATGAATGTTAAGAAGAATCTGGAGCTCATAGTGAATTGCAGTTGACGTTTCTACTGAGAAACTTTAGGAGAAATGGACACGAGGCACAATTTTACCTAAGATTGCTTGATCCTTTATTGATTTTATGACAGGAAGGTCTCTGAAATACCTAAAGCGTTTCTTCCACCGAGCGGATTTTACCTGAAATTTTCTATTGAGATACTATTGGGGTGGGTGTGACAACCCCCCAGTCGCGAAGCCCCTGAGCAGCACCTCCAATGAAGGGGCACCGATAAAGAGCATTTTTCCAAGAGCCAGCAAGCATATAAAGCAAGCAATAGAGCATTTTTCCAAAATCGTTTGTTGTGGGTGCAAAGTTCTCCCTTGCCCCCTCCCCGCCCCCACTTTCCAACCTGTGTCGGAGTCCACGAGATTTTCTCGGCAATTTATGCCTTGTAAGAAACTTAATGCGCAAATATTGCCTATTGTTGAATATTTCTTCCTATCTATGTTGGAAGAAGTTAATCGATGGTTCTCTCTAACCATTTGTTTGTCGCAAGCTATGCGGTGAACAATGCTATTGAAAAATAGTTGATGAAAAAGGACAAGAAGTGTTTTTTGAAAAATTTATTACGCATAATGTGCTAATGATCGAAATGTTTTCATTGGCAATAATAATGTCTTGAAACGAAAAGAGAATCCCTTAAGAAGAAAATTCATTAAAGACTTTATTTATGACAGCGTGATTTTGCTGTTGTTAGGGTAAATTTCCTTGAAACGGTCCAAAACATGATCCAAATCAAGCATCTCTGCACGTTTCGCATGAATCGGCATTCGCATGAGCAGCAACAGGGATTTCAACCAGGAGCACGATGGTATTGTGGGTCATGCGAAGGAGCACCATGAAATTAAGTCACAGCTTTCACGGAAGCGACAGGATATAATGCCATTATGATAGTAAAATTGCCGAAGAAAAGCCATTGAGAAAACCATAAACCAGCCAGTGCAGTTTTTTCCTCGATTATTTATGTCATTCAAACAACATGTAAACCGGGTGACATCCATCAAGTGCCGACGGTATTGAGAAAGCAAAAATTGATAGGCTGCCGACGGGGGGGCTCACAAAAATCTAGGGGGGGCTAAAGCCCCCCCTTGCCCCCCCATGCCGCCACTCCTGATTAAGGACGCGTACTTATTATAAAAAATTGAGCAAAAAATTCTAATTTTTCATATACATAGAAAACAATGTCTTTGTTCGACTCGTTTATTGCTTTTTTGTAGCTACAGGTTATGACCTTTCAATTTATTTTTAAATAAATCATAAAATTTCTTTTATCTCAGTTTCTAAAAGTAAAATGCTTGGACTTTGACATTTGTTGATAGGGAGGCCCCTTATAAGCCTTGGCGTGGGGGTCTTAGAAAAGGTTAGTGCGGCCCAGATTTATGCTATTTCAGTATACATTTATCTATTAATTTGTCTTAATTTTTGCTATCAATTGTTAATTCTCTTATCGTAACCACTTCTGGTTTAAGCTTGAATGTTGGTTTCCAGCCACAGGAAACTTTATGGTCTACGAATATCAGCTAAAACAACTTTGCTTAAGGCTGTTGGATAAAGTTTAAAAAAATATCCTCCTTATAATGCGAAATCATTTTTTTCGTAATCACAGGTGGCCTCTTACATCTTTACAATGCTACAAACAGAATGATTCTTACAATATTATGGTAGAAACTAATGATAGTTGTAAAAACTAAATAAGAGTTCCAAATTGTTGGTGATATTTGACTTAATTTATCGTATCGGACTATGTTGCCCATATATCACTCACTCTTGAAATTGTTTACTCCTCTCGTGCTTGCTGAGACTATAGGGTTAAAGCTATATGTTAAAGAAATCGCCATAAAAGTTATCAGCGTTTTATTCAAATGTCATTTGCTAAACACACTTCCATTTTCTGAACGAAAAATGAAATATTTGAGAAATACAACATAGTATGCTGGGGCCATATAAAATATAGCGTAATTTTTAAAAATGCTTGCAGCTCAAATTTTGTTGCAATCAAAAAACATCTCCATAATCTATCAGCTTTGATAAGCATTGCCTTGTTCTTAAATTTGTCAACAGGCCCGTCGGAACCGGGGGCCCGTTGGAGCTAGCCTGCGTCACAGACCATCACCACCAAGGAGATGGTCTGTGACGCAGGCTAGTTGGAGCCTCCCCCCCCCCCCCCCCCCCCCCAATTATTGTCTAGCTGTAGTATGTTTCCTTTGTAACAGTGTACGGAATGAGAACGAATACAATGGGCAGCCTCCCCAATATGAATTTCGTTTCGACGGCACTGGTCAATGAAATCAAAACAACTTTTAATATCAATAGGTGATTTGGTATGAGCATATGCAAAAAAATTTCTGTTTTGCCGATACAGCAAGTTCAAATTGCACATGATAAAATTTGAAAAGAAACTTCATGGTTCTTTCCAATAGCACTTGGTACGCAGAACATTTCATGAATTACTTTTAAAAGGCAGCAGCAAGCTTCGTTCACTTGCTAGGCGAAGAAAATTTGACGAATTTTTAGGCTATTTGCTGCTAAAAACCGTAAAAATAAATCAAATTCTTCGCTTTCTGCCCTACAGAATTTGGAAGTTGGAATGCAATGCGGCCCAACATCGCAACGCCGTTTAATGATCTTTTTATATTAATCCACCCAAACACCCGCGCTCATTTTATGCCGACACAGATCATCTATGCACATATCGAGGGGTCAATCGATCCGGGAAAGAAGAAGAAGGGTTCATTTGGGAAGGTGTGACTTTTGTATAAGGTGACAATGAGAACTTCATGAACCCTCTCCTTTGTCACTGCGGAGAAGCCATGTCCCGGGCCATGCTCGTCATTAACCGCGTTTCCATGGGATCGCCATGGGAATACCTAGTACCTGTTGTTAAAGTTCTAAAAACATTGATGGCAGCCACGAGATAGTTCAGATACACTCTGATCACAATGTTGATCGACACACCTTGATGAGTAAGGGTAGAAATACTTGAGTGCTTCTCTTCAAACAGAAAAAGGCCTGCATTATAAACGCTTACCAACCATTTCCGGCCAATTCTGACTTGGTGGTGAAAGCTCGACGTTTGTAACTCACTGTCTGTTGTTTTGGATTGGATTTGAAATCTGGGAAGATTTGCAAACATGGCTAACTCCAGTACTCCGTGTCCAGCTCTTGATATGTCTTATAGGTGTGATAAAAAAGGCAGTGGCTCGCTCCTTTTGCCTATTTTCGACGAGAGAAGTTGGGGTGAAGGAACACGAACGGCCTTGTACTTGATCACACTGTTTTGGTGTTTTATGGGTGTATCCATTGGAGCCGATCTCTTTATGTGTGCTATCGAGACGATAACTAGCAAAACAAAGCGAATCAAAGTTGCCTCACAGGAAGAGGGTAAAGGGTATGAAGAAGTGGAGGTCAGGGTGTGGAACGACACTGTTGCCAATCTTACCCTCATGGCTCTTGGGTCGTCAGCCCCCGAAATCCTCTTGTCTATCATTGAAATTGTTGGTAATAATTTCAAAGCAGGAAAACTTGGGCCTGGAACCATAGTTGGATCTGCAGCCTTCAATCTACTTATAATCACAGCAGTATGTATAATATCAATTCCTAATGGCCAAACCAGAAGCATAAAGTCGTACAAAGTATTCATCGTTACAGCGACATTTTGCGTTTTTGCATACATATGGTTGTATATTGTGCTGCAAGGCGTATCACCCAATCGTATCGAAATCTGGGAGGCTGTCCTCACGTTTGTACTTTTTCCAATCATGGTCATACTTGCATACATCGCAGACAAGGACTATTGTGCTGGGAAAATCGACTCTAATGAAAAGCCAGCCATTGAAATGGGTAATCTATTATAGCTTTTACTTGCTAATTTCAGCCACTTAACTCTTAATTTTGTTTTGTCTTGCTTTCTTTTGTCATTGCTACATTTACCCGTCCACTCCTGCCGTAAAACTTTCAATCCTAATAACCCAAAAGAAAAACAAAGAGACATGTGTTCTGAAATACTATAACTTAAATCAACTAATTATGTTTTCAGATATAACAACTTCAGGTATTCACACAGAATTTCACTGAATGCTTTTCTTGTGCACCTGTCAATTTTGCAAGTTGTCTTCAGTTTTCAACATTTCCTTACCATCAATGTTTTGATGAAATCAATCATTCCTTTACGGGGGCCCTTTCAACCCAGATTGGAAAACAGGTATGATTTGGGCAATGTGAAGCTGCAAGAAACAGCACTCTATCAGCTACAACCTGGAAGTGAAGCATTCGAGCAGCAAGCGATGAAGCTCATTATATACACAGTAGTATAATATATATCACTCGATTGATAGGGTCAGGTGTGAGCGCAAAAAATATAGTACACCTGCGAGCATATTCAAGTTTTCTAGCCAGACTTGCAACTTTTTACGCAAAGCATCTATTATGACAATTGCCTTTGGCACCTTGCCAAGTAGCCTTTGAGACATTCCCACAACATCCCTGGAACATCTGCCCACAATTCATCACCATTTTCTATGTCTTTAGTAAATAAGAAATATTAATTGCTTCGAACTGAGGGCTGCAATTTGATAAGCTGCTTGCTTTGTATGTGAATGTCTGTTTTTGTACCCCCACTTTGTTTGCTAAAATTGTAAACAACAAATCCGTCTTTAACTGGCCAAGAAATCCAGCTGTAGTAGATAGTTTTTAGGGATGCTGTCAAAGCAGGACTGGTCTAATGGAAATATTGTTACTTGATCTTTTATTGTGTAAACATTGATTTCTGGTAAACTATCTTTAAAAAAATATTTTCTTGCTGCATAAAGTTTCTGTTAATATTGATTGGAAAGGCTGGTAGATTTGAAATTATCAAATGTCTGCAACCTTTATATATCATATTATTGCTAACTTCATAGGGAGGGATTTAGTTTGTTTACAATGTTTGATAATTAAAATTTGCCACAATCCTGTAGAAATTTCATCTACTTTTTTCTTTGCAGGGTCTCTTGAGCTTCTGAAAGAAGACTACCTTAAAAGACATTACCCTGATGTTGTATCGTTTATGAAGGTTAGGCAATGTTCCTTTTTACTACTTCCTTTGTCATTTAATTCTTTTAAAAAATCTCAGAGACCCATAACAAATACAATTTGAAAATTTCATTGCAGTCTACATTGTTGTGATTATAGAGTCATTTGCTAATCTTTCTTGCTCTGTAAAATTGATTTTGCCTAAAGTCTATTCATTCAAGTCACACTTCTGATTATAGTTTCAAAGAATTGCAAACTACTTTGCTAAGTATAAAAAAAAAATTAATCAAATCTAACCAATAAATCTAGCCAACAAAATTTAACCAGCAAGCATCAACTTTATCAGCAGCAGCTGGTAAAAGACAATTTGATTTAAGGGCTTTCGTTTGTTTTACTTTTTATTGATGTGAAAGGAGAACTACTTTTTAGATAACCCTTTGCTTTGATTATGTCATTAAGTAACCTGTATCTATACAACTTTTGCTTGGGTAGCCTCCTGTAAAATTCTATCCTTGCATATTAATAGCTTAGAAATGACAATCACGTAGAAAAGACAATAATTTCTAATCAACTAGATATTATTTTTGAAATTTGAGGAGGTGCATTGAATATTAATACTTAGAAAATGCACATTAAAAATTAATTTGAAACACCTGTTGATATAAATAATTTCTGTCATAAAGACTATTGTCCTGAATTTCATATGAAATGGCCTTTTAGATTCATTGACCATACAGCTTTTGTCGTTTTACATAGTCTTGGGTAACTCAGAATACAACTTGGAATTTAATTCTCTCAGTCCTTCAACGTTCAGACAAAAAACGTTCAGACAAAAAACGTTCAGACAAGAAAAACACACAACTCTGTGCATGAACAAAGCAAAATCAATCCAATGCCATGATAAATGACCTTATTATCAAAAGTAGATTTTGTCCCAGCATCCATGGCATCTCTAGAGAAAATGTGAATACTAAATGATTTGAGGGACAAACAGAGGCGGAAATTTTGGGGATTTGGGGGACGCACCCCCCAATTAGCGATCCCGTCTGAAAATTCGGACTTTCGTGGGATACTTGACACCCGTTATTGTGTCGAAATTGCTCGAAGAAATCGTTCTGAAAAGGAATTTTACGCTTCGCTCGCAGGCGATCCGCATTTTCCCTTTTTGCTCCAGGGGCCTCTTTATTCTCTGTGCCCTTTTTGCAAAATTTGAACATAGCATAGCAGATAAAATATTAGCCAGTACTGAATAAGAAAACAAACAAATCATAAATGGATTGTTCTTCTTGCTACTAAATTATGGCGTGGTCAGCAAAGATTTCTAAAGGGTCCATTCAAAAAATCATCTACTTTTATAAAAATGCGCAGTTTCTTTAAAATTAGCATTATCCAAGATGTTATCTTGTCGAAAAATCGTAGCCCTGGCCCCCTTCAAATGAAAGCCTGAATTTCCCCCACTGGGGACAAAATTACAGGAATGATGTTGAGTGAATGATTTAAAGATAATTGTCAAGCCAGCCGTTTAGTTTGCACAAGTAACAAAGGCTGTTATGTAAACAACCCAACCTGTAACCAGGTCGGGCCTCTGCAATTGTAAAATATTCATTTTAATTTTATAGTGTGGCTACTGGTGTTACCACATTCTATGTAATCACCCGTTGTGGGCAAGACCTTACCTAGAAACGCTGCTGCTTGTTATTTGTTAATTCTTATATCAAAGAAACCTTATTTGTATAAATAGATTCATACATATTGAATTCAGTTTCGAGGGCGGATCTTCTAGTACATGGCAATCATTTGTCATTTTAAATGTTTTCAATGGCGTGAATGATTTTGTCTATCTCAAAACTGTAAGGAAATAGAAAAGGGTTTATCTCTTGCAAACAGACTGAAAACAGTATCATACCATCAAAGCGTCAAAGCAAGTCTATAATAAAGAATTACGGAATATATCACAAGCCAATAGTTGAATGCTCTAAGGGCCATGGATGCATAATAATATGCTATGTCCATTAAAATTAGCTTATTTTGGGTGCCAGGTGCAATAGTTCTTGGCACACGCGTAAAATCATTTAGATCCACTTTCTGTTTTCGGGTGCCACTACGAATACATATATCTTGGTTGAGGGAAACAATATGGGGAAACGGATAGAATACTTGGCATGTTACAAGTTTTCCGATGTTTTGCAATCTGAAAGGCTCATGATGTGAAACTAGTGTATCTAGAAGTTTCCAAGATTTGTTCCTTTCATTGGAGATACCCCATTTCCTTGGCCTTGAAACAAAAGTCTTTCTAAAGTTTTCTATATCACAAAAGTCCTAGGCAAGCTTTATACACCAAAGGGAAATCTTAAGAAAGTTTTATTCGCTTTTGCACCAAATCAACATACCCCAGCAAAAGTCTCATCCGTTTGAAGCAAATTTCGCAGTTTGCTCCAAGCTTTTTTACTACACTGCGAATTTGTTGGCCTACAGGAAAATTTTTCGCCATTGTTGTTGCCTAATTTGGTAGATTTTTCTAATGACGCCAACAAGGACACCAGTAATAATTGTCATGAAAGTAATTGACTTGTTTCTTTTTATTTCATACAAGGAAGTCACCGGCAACCCAAGAATCAGCGACGAAGAAGCTGCAAAGCTCATTGCTATGAGAATAGAATCTGCAAAGACCAAGAATTATGGCTACTACAGAGTTAGTGCATTAAGAAACTTTGGTGGTGGAAGGAAAGTTGTACCCCATGTGGAGCCGAAGCTACAGTCGGTGAGTGAGGAACCTTATTTACAGCTTGCTCCATTGGATAGCAATAAATCCGCACAGCAGATGTTTAGAGCAATGGTCCGGGTCATTATGAGCTCAAATTTGAGTTTACAACTTGCTCCTTTGGGTAGTATTGAATCCAGACGTAAGAAGTTTACGGAATTCATATGGGTTTCTATAAGCTCAATTTCGAGTATCTTTCTATGTTTTGACTATAGATGCTCGATACAATAATTTGCTCTATTGACAGCGTTCAAGTTTATTGAGGTCAGCTTTGAGGACTTTATTGCTTCTGGTGCTCTGTCGTATTTTAATCAAATCGTTTTTGTCTCTATTATGTAAATTACACCGAAAAACGGGTGGGAATAGATGTTTGCTTTATAGCGAAATACAAACAAGCTAAATAAAATATTCATTGTACCGTTGTGTTCTCAACTTTTTAATTTTCTACTTTTTCTGTTCGATTACATACAACAGGTGATACTATTGAAACGGGTTGATATTTAGAAATTCTTTTTTAAACTGTAAGCCAATGATAATCTTTGTTGACATCGATTGGGAACATGAGGAATTATCATCACTAAAAGTCATCACTAAAAGTCCCAACTAATCACTACTCTCATCACTAATCACTAATCACTCAAAGTCCCAACTAATCACTTCTCTCATCACTAATCACTAATCACTCATCACTAAAAGTCCCAACAAAAGAATGTTTGAGCCCTTTGAGTATCTGAGAATGATTGGTCCCTGAAATGATATGCAGCGTCTGCAAAACTAAATATTAAACCATGCCACAAAAAAGGGGTGATTACATCCCTTCCTTTAAAATATCTATATTATTTTAAAATCTCTATATTATTGTTATTTATCAAGGTATTGCAATGTTATTTAAACCTCGACCAGTTGTTATTTCATCGGTTAGATTGCGAGAGTAACTGAATCAAAAGGAACGAACAATGCATGTTTTTATAGGAGAGGAATGACTAGCCCTGTATATAGAGAAAGACAGTTCTTGTCTGTTATGAAAGTCATCTTTGTTGCTAGATCTACAACGAAGCGTCTGATGCAGAACTGACCGGGAGCCATTTGGCACTTGTCGATGTAGATGGAACAGGTAACCAGTTTAATCCCATTCAATTCATCTTTAACTCGTCTCAGTTTCACAAATCTCTATGACGTCATACCATGCTCTAGCTTACGTTTCTATTGAGCATTCATTTTATATAAGCGTCTTGTAAACATCGAACCAGAACCCAACCTTTCTGAACATTATTCCGAATTTTCGTTTTTCGTTGCTTTACACCAAGTAACAGCAATGTGGGAGCTTTCTTAATTGAAATTATAATTCCTGCCAAAAGTACTTGGAACACCCAACAATTTGCATTGTGTTTTGATGTTTTTCAATTCTTTTCCCGAAAGCTTCTACTTCTGCACTCCTTTCCCCCCAAAACAATGTTAATTTTTTAGACAAATATCATAAAAAACGCACTTCCTACATCGTTTTTTAGAAAAACCAACAATGCTCTTAAATTAACCCTTGCATTAGCCCTTGAAAACTAGTTTTAGTGTTCCAATACTTTTTGCAGGCATGGTAGTAGCTGCAATCTTTATCCTGAATTAATGTCTAGTGCTTTCCTATAGAAAAGTGTTAAAATGCTTTTATTTTTGACTGCAGCCAAAATCCAGTTCACAGCAACGTCATATGCAGTTTTGGAGAATGAAAAAGTTGTTCACATTGGAGTAGAGCGGTCTGGCAATCCGAAGTCTCTTGTTACCGTCCAGTAAGTATATCAGTTATGCGACTATCTTGTTGCAAGCATGGCCTTAGTTTTCAGAGATCCAACATCTGACGATCATAAACCGCCGAGATGTCACTGGAGCTAAGCTCTGACTGTTTGGCCCTTATGCCTCTAGACAACTTTAAGACTAAATCATAAAACATATGATTAATTAGAGAAAGGGGATGAAGTATTTATTACATGATCTTATTGATTTATATTCTCATTAGAACAGGATGAAGTATTTTGTTCTTGTTAGGTCACAGATTATGTTTTCATTTGCCAAAATTCTTCAAGAGGGCAGACGGATAATCAGAGAAGATTTTTTTAAAATTATAAGACTGCTTGATAATTGTTTTTCATGCAATAGACATGAAAATGCGGTTTAATTTCTGCTTTCTATTCAATTATTAAGCTACCTTTACTTTGCAAAGCTGTGTTTGACAAAAATAAGATGACAGCTAAATCCTGGATTTGAATGTTTTTACGATCAAACAAGAGGTGTGGTAAATGTGCTTAAATATGTTGTAATCTGATAGATCAAATAAGTCATGAATAATTTTGTCAGCATTTAAATAAGATTATGAGCATATAACTTAGCGAAAGATTTTCAGTTTGCAAAAGATGGTTATTTTTGGGGGTTTCAGAGGTAGAACCCTCGAAAGCAAGGCAAAACAGCATCAAAATGAAATACTTTTGCCTAGACTTCATAAAAAGAGGATGCTAGCCCCCCTCCCCGTAACCCCTACAATTCCGGTTTCCTTATCGATTTTTGTTAATGAATGCTTTTAAGACACCTTTTAGACACACCTGAATAAAACTACCGAGGTGATATATGGGCACTAGCCTAGTTTGATGTATAATGATTAGGCCTAGTTACACCAACTAGGTACACTATCACAACAGGTGTCTGAAAAATGGTATTAAGATTATCTGCAGTGATTAGTCAGCCTTTTACCCCATGAATGCATTGTTCAAACAAAATTAGTTTTGATCAGGCCCCCTTTAAATTATTATATACTGCATAGTAAATCAGCAGAATAGCGTTTTTAGCAGTGACTGTAACACATTAAACATTTCTGTGCAGTGACTGTAACAATTTTTTGATGAGCAAGACACAAACTGTTATCTCTTCGTTTTGCTCCAAACAATACCTTCATTTGATTAATTGCCTAAAAATGAAGATCAGCTATGAATCCAAGGAAACTTTTAGTTTGTTTCCTAATTGAATAGTTGATGCTAATTGAGGACATTCGGTCTTAATCTTTGAGAACGCTCTGAGGGATCGTTCCTCTGGTTGTGTCCAACCGGAAGCAGCAAAATTGAATGCCTTGTAATTGTCAGATTGACATATTTGGCAGATTTGGTAAACTCAGTTCTAACGTTAACCTTGTACTATGTTCAATTTTGGTACAAGGGCCTTAACTCTTTTGTTAATTACACTTTTTACAAATTTATTTCCTGCATCGAAATTAGTTTTATATTTGCCTGATTTTAATGAAAAAAGACAGAATTGATATATAAAAGCGTTTAATGATTACAGCTACGAGACTATTGATGGCACTGCGGAGGCAGGCTCTGACTATATCGGAAAGAAAGAGCTACTTCAGTTTCTACCAGATGAATTGCACAAGTACATTGACATTGTGATCATAGACGACAATGAGTGGGAGCCAGATGAAACATTCTTCGTCAAGTTGTGGTGTGACCCACAGGATACAGCAGTGAAAATTGGAAAACACAGTGTTACCGAGATTACGATCATTAATGACGATGGTAATTGTCGTTGTTTTTCAACTTATTTAATTTTAAAGGTTTTGAGTCATAATAAAAGGGGATACCCAAATACAACGAGTCATGGTTCTCATGCTGCAATACTATTGGTGGAGCTAAGACTGATCATATGAATGTAATCCTGGTTCTATCAAAGTCCAGTTGTAAAAAATGGCTGCGGATCTCACGAAAGTGATCATTACCAAGGAATATTACCTACTATAAAGGACGGCTTCTTGGCATGACTTAGTATTTTCAACCAACTTCAAGGTCTTTTTTAAGTAGGGCAGTTATTGAGTCTTGTGTAAGTTCAAGGATAAAACTATATGTGTCACAACACCAAGCTTTATAATACTCTCCTGGTATGGGATTCTCTTTGAACATCTATCAAGAATGAATGTAAATTTGTCGCTATAGATTTCTTAGTGTGCAATTATGTTGTTTTTACTTTTTTGCAGAGCCTGGCAATATCGAGTTTACAAAACCCAGTAATATCTATAAGGAGAGCACAGGTGTCGCAGAGATAGAACTGCAGAGAATTAACGGTGCAGATGGCCAGGTGTCGGTAAAATGGACCACAACGGACCAGTCAGCTGTCAATGGCAAAGACTACATTGGCGGTGAAGGCACTGTGGTATTTGAGCATGGGGAGACAATGAAAGTTCTCGGAATTGAGTTGATAGATGATAAGACATTTGAGAAAGATGAAACATTCATGATCTCTTTGTCGGAGCCTACAAATGGAGCGAAGGTTGGTCGTCTGAAAAGGACCGTTGTCACGATTGTCAATGATGATGGTAGGTTCATTGGTATTACTTAGCTACACAATTTTTATAAGCATAATTACGGAGCATAATTAAGCATAATTACGAAGCATAATTACGCAGCATAATTAAGCATAATTTATAAGCAGGATGTCTAAAGAAAAAGGGAATACTGCTTGCTGCTATTTTCCAAGTTTACAAAGAAGGATTGAGTTATTCCACCAAAACCTGCGAATTCTTGATCTAATCTAATCTGATCTAATCTGTAAGCCAATATTGATTCCAACAAGAATTGATTGATACAAACTAGATTGGTGGTTTTGAATCGGATACAGTCTCTTTGGTTGTGTATTTTGTATTTGGTTCGTTGGTATATCTGAGAACTTAAAAAAACACGTTCTTTTGAGATAAATAGGATAGTTCATGACATGGAAAGCAACTGTACCTCAGATTTGATCTTTTATGCGTGTTTCTTCCTGAGGTGGCCTCCTTTGTTTGCAAAATGAAAGAACGTTGTTGACTAGGCCACTTACTGACTTTGCCGAGTCCTAGGGTGAAATTTACAACAAATATACACAGGAACAACACAAATGAACAAAGGGCTTTATGTTGTTAAGAGAAAACCAATATGTGTTTTAAGAATAAGCAAATGTTTTTGTGCATATGGTATAATCATTTTCGTATATTATTTGTTTTTTTAATCATGGATCTACAAGTCATAAATTTTTTCTGTTAAAAGTGTCATAGTTTTCTATCTCTCAAATTGTCTTATATTTTCTCTTCTATTTCCATTACGTTTAAATAATGCTATCATGTTAATAATTTGAACACGAATAAATGACTTCTTTCTAACTTGTTAGCTTATGAGAAGGTATTTCTTCTTGTACAGCCTGAATGCAGATAGTAAAAACATGTTTGCTTTTTCTAGATTACAGAAGAATGTTCGATCGAGTTGTAAGCATGACGCACATGAACCTTCATAAATTTTCCCTCGGATCTGCTACATGGGGTCAACAGTTCGCAGAAGCAATGTCAGTTAACGGTGGCGATGTGGAGAACGCAACTGTTCTGGATTACATAATGCACTTGATGACGTTTGGATGGAAGGTAACAATAATATTACCTAGCAATATTTTTCTATAATGTGGTCCTTCTCGTTTTATATGTGATGTAGAATCTTTCCATTTGTAAAAACGGATATCTAAGAATATTCTACATAACATGCAATGTGGAAATCGACGATTTTCCCTGTGCTCATTAGACAACATGCAAGTTTGCCATAACAATTCAGTAACTGTGCTTTATTTTGATTCTTTCATCTATGGTTTTTCCAGGTCATCTTCGCATTTGTGCCCCCGTGCAGCTGGTTAGGTGGCTGGCTTGCATTCGCCGTCTGTATCAGTATGATTGGTATTTTGACTGCCTTAATTGGAGATTTAGCATCAATATTCGGCTGCCTGATTAGGTTGGACACGGAGGTGACAGCCATCACATTTGTTGCTCTTGGTACCAGTTTGCCTGATCTGTTTGCCAGTAAAAATGCTGCGATGAATGAAAAGTATGCCGATGCCTCTATAGGCAATGTCACTGGCAGTAACTCTGTCAATGTGTTTCTTGGTCTTGGCACATCTTGGGTCATCGCTTCGATTTATCACGCTTCAAAGGTTCGTATATGTTTTATTAATGTTTCTTATGATTTTAGTACAGTTTCAGTTGACTGCTTAAATCTGACATATGTGAAGCACCAGATAACTTAGGCAAATAGATGCATACAACAGACTGGGAGTTTTCAGGTTTTGTAAGGGATCCTTTCTGGACATTTCGTGACTTTCAGGTGATACATAGATTGGGAGCGTCTCGTGATGTTTTGAAAATTGATAATGTTTGTCTGTCTTTTGCATCAATACTATTCAACTTGTGTGTTTAATATAAATTTAATGCATTCAACAGGGTTCACAATTTGAAGTTGATGCTGGATCCCTCTCAGTCAGTGTCGTGACGTACACTATCTGTGCTTTGATATGCATTTCCATATTGGTGTTGCGTCGATACTTGGCGGCCTTTGGCAAAGGAGAGTTGGGTGGAACGCCACTGCTGAAATGGGTTTCTGGTATCATACTTATTTCTCTATGGTTTATATACATCATCGTATCAGCTATGAAGGCATATAACAAATTCTAGTCTTCTCTTTTTTCTCCGATAACTGCTTTTTAGCTGTAATATGGGTTTTTAGGATCAGAGTTCAAAATTTCGACCCTCACTTTGATACCAATAATAACAAAAACTTTTTAAAAAAGGAGAACAGGAACATTCTCCCGTGTTTATGAACGCTTGAAGTTCAAAATCAAATCGGGCTTAAGCGAGTCTATGAAACTGGCAGATGAGACAATGGAATGAAATAGGCTATTCAGCGGCTGTGGTGTGACAAAGAGGACCCCCTTTAAAGGCACCATATACTGTCGGTCAACTGATCACCTTATCAAAAGGCTTTACGGGCTCTGTGGGAACCTTAAATATCAACCGATGGGAATTTAGGTGACCACGAAAATTCATCGGGACATCGTGCATTAAGCGATTATTGGTTGTTAGAAGACCCAGCTCTAACTCATCCTAATGTTATCTGTAGAAACAACCAATAAAGACAACGGCTCACAGTTTCCTGCTATTATCTCCTTCTCTAATAGAATCCTATGCACGCTTTAATGGATCATTTTGATCCCATTCATTTGGTACATCCGACCTGAGCCTTTTCTTAAGTGACAAAAGATGTAACGTCAAAACTTCACAAATTTACGAACGGAATCAGGCCCACGAAGACAGGTTTTTTAAGTCATGCTACTTTTGAACAATTCCCTCGTCAGCTATGTACAATTTATTGTTGCTTATGCCAATCCGGTCCCATTTATATTTTACCCTTTGTGTGAGATCCTATGTAGACATATCAGGTAGGGCCTGTCAAATTACAGTTGATCTAAAAAGTTACTTTTATTTAAACGTTTTTCTAAAAAGTTTTTTTATTTAAATCATTTTGTCTTAATTTTTTTCTGAATTATTTATCAAAAAATAAATAAATTAACCACACGTAAATCATTTTCAACGCCAGTCTCCATTTGTCTACTAAACTGGGCAATGCTGAGACCAGTCTTTTTACTGATGTTCCCGTCTTGATGTTATTGGTAATGCTATGTTTATCTCATCAATTCGAATAGATAAAGACGACTTTTCAACTCTAAGTTTTGCAGCTGACTGCCCCTTTCGCAGCCGTTTGTGTTAATTATACATTTATGCCTTTTTTACATAGTAATTGCATTTATATGTCAATCCATCTGTTTATATTTACCCTATAATGACAAGTATCCTAGCCTTCCAAGCATACGTCACAAATTAAAATAAGCCACATTCCTCGCAGACAAGAAACCCATGACTAAAATTCAAGCTCGAACACATCACTTATCACATTCCACTGTTTAATTTCCTGCATTATTTTTTCAAATACATATTACCTTAATTATTGCAATGGTAGAATATTCGAAAAAACGTTTTATTTGCTTGGGTTCTAACGAACCTCGCATCTTTTAATTGCCAAGCTCAAATGCACATTTGCATCCGTTTCGTCGTGTATATTAAACAAGGGGCTACAGAGATCTTTAATATATTGCTTTTAGAATTCATATAGTTTTTATTGTAATGTAAACAGTCGTGGGGAATTTTCGGATGGTATAAATTAAGCACGATGATATCGAAAGATTGTGGTCACTATCAGTAAAATTGTCTTGTAACTAGAAAAAAAGATCCACTCTCGTTTAGAGTTTAGGCCCTACTCGAGCCACTTCTCACTAGTTGATTCATTGTTCGTAGGGGGGAGGGGGGGCAATCCAAAGTAATTACCCTGAAACCAATTGATATTTTAAACAGCAGTTGTATTTAGAATCCTTGGTTGCTTGCCAATAATTCTACCTCGATGTGAAAAGTACGTAAAAATGCGCATTTTGATATAATACTATTCATTGTACCCAGTACCTCATTGATATAGATCTTTGGCAACTTTTTAGATTTGATTTACAAGTCCTATCCCTCCTATCTTAGTCAATGTACTGATAATAATTGTTTACTTGACTGAGGACCATAACATATGTAATAATGACGCTTAACTTATTCAATATTTCTATTCCAGTATTGTTATCAGATTTGGGTGAATTTTGAGGGTATTAATTAATACAGAGTGTGTTTATGTTGTAATTTAAATTAATTATCTTTCGATTGGAATAGATACATTTGAAATACATAAATTACAATGGGCAACGAGTCATGCTTGATCAAAGTCTCTCTCTGCCAGTCTCTCTCTGTGCTTCACTATTTAAGTAATCCTGCTTTGTTACCATCTAGATGTCACAATTGACAATTACGTTTTCCTAGCGGGAGGCAGAGTCAAATAAAACACTCATCTTTTTCTCGGGAAAATTTCCTCAAGTTTTGGAAATCTACCTCAGAAGACATAAAACAGGCGGGGTTTAGGCGTGGTACTTCAATTTCTTTTGTTTTCACTTTCAGTGCACATGGTCTTATGCCGTATGACCGATATGTTTTCATATTCCTGGCGGTAGGTGAAAAATGGATGTTCATACTAAGATACTTAAGGCCCAATGGAAAACGATAAAAAGTGGAATCTCTATCAACGGACACTGACGGATACAACGGGCTCTCTGAAAAACGGACACATATTTTAATTCCACTTGTTCCAAGTAGCAACTTGTCATTTAATGATTGAACATCTAAGTATAAAGTGAAAATTGTACATCAAATTTAACTTTAGTTTTCAAAGTTGAAAGTATGAATGAAATAGTTTGGTACATAATGTAAAACAGCGAAAAGGGTTATTTTTATGATAGTGAAGATAAGTCTGATAAAAACTTCTAATAAGTAATCAGGATGGAAAAAGCGATTATTTTTATGCCAATTTCCAAAATTGAACAACCTCGAAAGCCTCGAAAACTTAAAAAAGTTTTAGCTTTGAAAGAAAAACCTTTAGATCTAAATAATTAAAGGCACCATGTCCTGTCAGTCAACCTTCAGACTTGTTATCTTGCAATTTAAAGTCATGTCTAAGTGGAAATCTTCGTACGAGAATGGGAAATCTTCGTACGTTACGCTGAGTCAGGGGAAGACAAATACTCGTGGGGTAAACAAGCTTCTGATGGATCACAAAACCCTTTTTGCAAGATATGTCACCAACTGATTGCTCCAGAAGCATCTAATCTGTCAAACCATGTAAAAACCAGAAAGACATACAAATAATATGAAAGCTGCAAATTCATCATGTGCTAGCGTTCAAAAAAGTTCCCAAGAAATTGGACCAATCTTCTAAAGAAGTTAACATTTTTGAGATAGAACTTGCAGTTGGAATGGCTGGCCATAGCGCGTTAAAGTCAAACGATCATTTGGGCGAAATTATCAAAAGAAATGGCGATGGCAGCATTGCTGGCAATATAAGATTGCACGAGACAAAATGTACAAAACTTCTTACAAACGTTTTAGCACCTGCAACGAAGGAAAATCTCGCAGAAAAACTGAAAGGGAAGAAGTTCCCTGTTTTAGTGAACGAGTCTCATTTGACAAGTACATGGCAGTAGTAAGAAGATGCTACGATTAATTCTTACATAGAATTTGCACTACATTTGCAGATCTTGTCCCAGTATCTAGTACAAAAGGCGTAATTCTTTTCGAAGCTTTGGAAAATTGCCTTAATAATCTTGGTCTTGCCCTAGCAGACTGCATTGGCTACGGTTCAGATGGTGCATCGAATATGAACGGAGAGCATAATTCTCTCTGGTCGAGAATTCGCCAACACTCGCCAAACTGCATCGAAATGAGATATGTATTTCACTCTCTAAGCCTGTGCATAAAAATTGCGTTCCACAAGCTGCCTTCGAATCTGGGTTTTCTTTTGAAAGAGATACCAAAATGGTTGTCGAAAAGCAGCATAAGGAGAGAGGGTTTCAAAGATTTGTTTCAGACAATGAAACCAAATGATCAGCGTAAAGACACTCCACTACCTTTCACCAAATACTGTACAACTGGCTGGCTCATTCGAGGAAAGGTACTCCAAAACATCTTGATGAAATGGGAGGAGCTCAAGGCCTACTTTCTTGTTGCGGAACCTGCATCGTCACAAAACGCAAGGCTTGAAGCAAAGGATGATTCGCGAGATGCTGGAAGCTCTAATGAATTACTTGTGTTTTCAAAATGTCACCCCTTTTATTGGAGAATTTGACAGTGCAAATGCCTATTTTCAAGCAACCAATGCAGACCCAAGAAGAATCAGAAAGGCAGTTACATCTTCACCATAAAAGCCTTAAATTTAGAGTCTGTGACTTTCATGGAAACTGCAAACCAGTTCAAAATATAGACTTTGGATCTAAATTCATTTTGAAAGCAGAGAAATACATTGGATCCAGTAGCCCTACAAATGACGCCAAGAAAAATGTGATGGCGATAAAGGAAAGATGCGTTACATTCCTAAAGACTGACATCTCTGAAGTGGGGTGCAGACTTCCGTCAGCAAAGAATGTTTTCAAAGGGCTAGGCTACTTTCATCCTGATAACATTTTGAGTCAGACGGCACACTTGCCTTTTCACGAGCTTCCATTTGCCCATCTGAAACTGAAAATGAGTATGCCATTGAAGAGCAGTACAGGAAAGCTCAATTTGTAAACTGGGCCGACGAAAATATTTTCTATGGAAAGATTCCGAGGGATACAGTTTAATTTTGGTCAGGTGTTCTGGAATACCAGACCGAGGGGCAATTCACTTTTGAAAATAGCCTACGAGATTTTCATTAAAACAAAAGAATTTCCAGGGATTTTCAGATAAAACAATAGAATTTTCACAAAAGGTGTACGAGATTTTCTTGGAGTGATTTGCCCCTCGTACCAGACCTCTACGAGTAACAAGCCCTTTAAAAACACATTGCGCAATACGTAGTGTCATGTTTGTGTTTACCCATCAGCAATGCAGTCACAGAAAGGATATTTTCTCTGGTTACGTGCATAAAAACAAAGCAACGGAACAGGGTGCAGCTCAAGGCACTAGACTCAATTGTGAGAATTAGATCAAACTTACATTTTGAGGACCATTTTTGCAGAGATCTGATTGTGACAGATAAAATGCTAGAACTGTTCAACAGCAAACAAATGTATATAACAAATGAGGTTGATGAAAGGGAGATTGACGAAGTCTTTGACATTTTATGCATTGCATGATATCGTATCCACTAATGACTTTCTGGACAGATTTGTTTTAATATACCTTATTTTTGAGAGCTAATTTTGTCAAATTAGTATAGTGTCAGATTAACATTAATTTATAATACCTATATATGCCTCGTTTTCATTTTTTGATTCTATTGTTCCGCAACCTCATTTTCATATTCGGCTTAAATTGGGATTTTTAACACGCATGATTTGGCTCCGGTCACTTTTGAGACCTGGCAACCCTGGTTCAGAGTTAACAATGGGCTTTGCAGTGTGCTTAAAAAGCGAGAAAGCATTGAGGATTGGCCTATTGGCTCCGTAACAATAGGTCTATTGTATAGTCTAACCAATAGGAACTTGAGTGGCCAGCGAAATGCGTCGGAACATTCCTTCAAGAACAATATTCAAACGATAAGCTGTCACTACAAAAGCCTCTGATAAGCAACATATATTTTATGCTCTCTGAAAATACTCATTCCTTCACCCGAATGCTTCTTTGATATACCGCAACAAAGGAGCATTGGTGGCTGTGATCCATGTTAAATGGAAACTGGCAGTTTTGATTAAACTAAAAAATCTGGTCCTGTAAAAACTGAAAAAAATGATTTTAGCAAAGTCAGTCAAAACTTAAATGACTTTTCATAAGTCAGATGTACTCAAACCTTCAGCGGAAACTGAAATGTCAATCATAAAGGGTATTGGCGCAGGCTAGAGAAATAAACACTCTGTTCTTTTAATGCCCCTCTTTTTGACCATCCAGGGATCTATTAGCATACGAGAGGGTAACAAACATACAAAGTTCAAGGTAGTCTCTTAACTTGTTGTCTTATTTATCCATTAAAGACAAAAATTTCCGATAGCATCTTTCAGGTACACAACTATAGAAAAACAACTTCCCTGTCTAAGAATATTATTAAAACCCTTACTTTTAACGCATCCCTTTGCTTGTCACAATACATTTAAGAGGTTAAAATGTTTACTAACCTCCCAGGCGTTAAATTGAGGATAGGTAATAACCTACAGAAGACAAGCAAACAGGGGAGAACACAAGCAAGCTAGCAAACAAGCAAGCTAGCAAACACGCAAGCTAGCAAACAAGCAAGCTTCTCACTAACAAGCTAGCATCAATGCGATCAGGCCAGCATACAAACAAAATAGCCTCCAATCAAGCAGGCTACTGACCAAATAAGCCTCGCACCAGGCAAGCAAGCATTAAAGCAAGCATTAAAGCAAGCAACCAAACAATAAAAAAGATCTTGTTTCCAAGCTTGCATTCAAGCAAGCAACGAAACAAGCAAAGAAACAGGCCAGCAGACAAGCAAGCAACCAAGCAAGGAAACAAGCAACCAACATAAAAAGGAAACAAGCCAATAGACAGCCAAGCAATCAAGCAAGCAAACAACTTAGAAAGAAAACAGACCTGCAAATATAAAATCCATCAAGCAAAGAAACAAGCCAATATACAGCCAAGCAATCAAGCAAATATTAAAGCCATCAAGCAAGGAAACAAGCCAATAGACAGCCAAGCAATCAAGCAAGCAGTCAACATAAAAAGGAATCAGGCCAATAGACTAGAAATCAAGCAAGCAAACAGCTCAGAAAGGAAACAGACCTGCAAACAAGCAAATATTAAAGCCATCAAGCAAGGAAACAAGCCAATAGACAGCCAAGAAATCAAGCAAGCAGCCAACATAAAAAGGAAACAGGCCAGCAGACAAACAAGCAAGCAACCAAGCAAGAAAACAGGCGAGCAAGTAAACTGACAAGAAAGTAAGCATGTAGGAAAACAGGCAGACAAACAAGAGGTGAAACAAAATCACACAGGGCTGTCTGGCAGGCAGACATCCCTGAAATCGTTTTGATCTTTCCTCAAGAAATCTTAAGTTTCAATTGTTACATGCTTTATCAGCGTTCATTATGTTGCACCCTACCATTAATAATACAGAAAATAACAAATTGAATTGGTTAGTTCAGTGGCGTAGTTTGATCTTCCAGACTCGGGGGTGGAGGGTCATCAATAGTCAAATTTACCGACGAGAACATCGATGAAGAAAAACTTGGGTCCT